AAAAAAAAAAAGAATTTCTTTCAGAGATAGGGTCTCTGCCACCCAGGCTAGAGTGCAGTGGTGCCATCATAACTCAATGCTGCCTGAAACTCTGGACTTAAGCCATCCTCCTGCCTCAGCACCCAAAGTAGCTAGAACTACAGGCACACGCCACCATGCCCAGCTAATTTTGTTACGGTTTGTAAAGATGGGGTCTTGTTTTGTTGCCCAGACTGGTCTCAAATTCCTGACCTCAAGTGATCCTCTCATCTCAGCTTCCGAAAGCCACCACACATGGCCATTTCTTTTAACTTCCTGAAATACATCTGGTACATACGCTCATTAGGAACAACATATTTAGATCACTCTCCAAAATGCAGCAGTGTTACCACTTACTACAATGTAGGCAAGTAGTCTAATGTAGCATAAAATAATGAGAGATGAAGAGAGTAAGTGGAAAGATGTCAGCTTAAACATAAGAATAAGAGGAAAGAGAGAAGGAAACAGACCTGAAGACTGCTATATCGTGCATAAAACCAGCAAGCTATTTAACTGGAAAAAAAAAATTTTCTCAGAAAAGCTATCTTATTCTGTTATTTTTAATAACATTACTGAATTTATCATTTCTTTTTTCATGGACAAGAAACTGTAACTTCCTAAAAGGAAAGTAACTATTCAATTGGTCTCTTAAAACTATAACCTTACTTAAAACATAAGTTTTTTAAAATCTTGAATTGCTAAAATTCCACTTACATGGTATATTCTATATGTAAATTCCCTTATGTGGTATATATTGTATGTATTACTTACTAGCCACATGAAAATGGCCTATTTTGAGATACAAACATTACTGACCTAATGTTTGTCAAAAGAGGGCAGCAGATGCAGCTGCCACCAACTCACGACTCAGGGGCTCATTTCTGAAAAAGAAAATGAAAACCAAATGAGAAAGAAAGAAAGAGAGATTGATTATTATGCCATTAGTTTAGTGAAAAGTAAAATGATTTTGGGGGGAAAATTTTCTGTTGATCAAAAAAGTATCATTCAATTCAATTTCTGACAAAAGCAAGAATTCTCAACTATTAGGTACCAGTTTTAAATAAACTTTGAAATGTTAACACAGAGCAATATATTAATGTGGAGGGATGAGGGATCAGCCTCAAAAGTTATAAATTAGTGGCATTTTCAACTAGATGCTATCACATTTCAAAAACAATACATATTACAAGCAAATATTAAGGCAGCTTAACCTGTTCACAGCTTTACTCATAATAGCCCCAAACTGTAACAAACCTAAGGTCTATTATTAGAAAGAAAAAACTAATTGTGAAGTATCCAAACAATGGAAGAGTACTCAGCTCATGCCAACATGAATGACTCTCATACACATTAGATCAAGTGAAAGAAGTTGGACACAGAATATATTCCGTATGATTCCATTTCTATCAAGTTCTAGAACAGGCAAAACTAATCTGAGGTGAAAAAACAAAGCAGCAATTGCCTCAGGACAGAAGGCTACTGACTGGGAAGGTGAAAATGGGAAACACAGTCTTGGTTAAGTGTGTGGGTCACATGGGCTTATCCATTTATCAAAATCCTCCAGCCACCATGCGGTGAGAAAGCCCAGGCCACAAAGAAAGCCACATGTAGGTGTTTCTGCTAACACCCTCAGCTAAGGTCTCAGATGACAGTGGCATCAACTGCCAGACCTATGAGTGAGCAAACTTCAGATGATTCCAGCCTCAGACTACTAAGTCTTCCAACTGAGGCCCCAGATATCACAGAGCACAGACTGGCCTTCCCCACTGTGTTCCAGCTAAATTGCTAACCCACAGAATCTGAGAGCATAATGAGTGAATGTTTTATGCCACTAAGTTTGGGAGGTAGTGTAACCATGATAACCATATCAATGGGGATTTAATATACAATACAAAGAAAGAAAAGCAGGCTGTGCATGAAGCTATGATGACAGTGCCTCATGAAGCAAAGATCATGACTAATCTAATTCCAGCACACTGGAGTCCTTGAAAAGCGGGAAGGGGAGGCAAAAATCATTAAAAGACACCTTCTAAGAACTCAAAACAAATGCATCTCATTCACCAATCTTTTGATGTAGGACCAAAGCCTCTTTTTGAAACACAGGACCACTGATAAAAGGTTCTAAGACATATCTTTTATATATATCACACCCATCCTGCAATATTTTCAATTTTGGTTTAAGTGGAAAAGTAAAGCAAGAAAGTAAGAAAGCTGACAAAGCAATCTAAGGGTATGATGCTCCTGTGTATGTGTATTTGTCTCACTCGTGCCTAATTGGAAAGAAATTTTTTACATGACTTTTACTGACTCTTTCCAAAGCATTCAACTCACTTTACCATTTCTGTAGCAGTTAATTAAATTATAATAAAGGGCATCAGGGGTCATAAACAGGTCTGGGAACCTTAAAAATGCCATTCTTGATAAGTATTTATATATGTTTGCGTGTGTTATTTACTTCCATATACTTATATAACTGTTTTGTTTCTAAAGGAGTAGGAGGAGAAGGAAGTACCTGTTACGGGAGGGTAATGATTGTCTGAATTAGCTTACTCTATCACCCAATTATACTTTCTAGAGGTATTTTTGATACCATGTAGAAACCAAGAGGTTCCATTAAAATGTTAAACCATTCTGGGAAACAGAAGCCTCTATTATCTGTTTGTTCTGATAAGAGAAGTCAGTGATGGGTATCCTAAAGCCACACACCTCACTACTTGAATTAATGACATCACTGAAATACATCATTATGTATCACTAAAAAAAAATACTGCCATTTAACCTACAATACAATGCCAAGATATCACTGACTGCACTTAGAATTAAACGTAATACCCTTTTGACAAGCACAAGTAATTATAATGCTCTGAGGAAGCCAAGAAAGCTGAAAGCACTGACAGTTATTGGTGAAAGGAAGTCATATACAGCAGTTGTAATCAACATGCTAAAACTTTATTCCAGAAAAAAACCTTTAAAATTGAAAATTTCAAATAAGCAAGTCCTTTACAGACACGAGGCTACCTTCAAATCAAGATGTAAATGGTAAGTGTTAATTAGCAGCTTAAAGAGGCAGTTAGGTGGCAGTTAATAACACCAATAAATATGTAAGAGTGTGGAATTCTCAATGAGATCACTTCTCTTTTCCTTTCACTGGATTGTGTACAGATATCCTCTTGTTATTTAAATATAATACAATCACAGCGTTTCTCAAGTAATTATTAGAGTCCCTGTGTTTACAAGCTGATATTTATTCTTCATTAATTCAACATCTCCCAAGTACTTGTATTAAAAATATTTTTTGCCAAAAGTTTCAAACGGCCGGGCGCGGCGGCTCACGCCTGCAATCCCTGCACTTTGGAGGGCCGAGGCGGGTGGATCACAAGGTCAGGAGATCGAGACCATCCTGGCTAACAGGGTGAAACGCTACAAAAAATTAGCCAGGTGTGGTGGTAGGTGCCTATAGTCCCAGCTACTCGGGAGGCTGAGGCAGGAGGATGGCGTGAACCTTGGAGGCGGAGCTTGCAGTGAGTGGAGACTGCACCACTGCACTCCAGCCTGGGCAACAGAGCAAGACTCTGTCTCAAAAAAAAAAAAAAAAAATAGTTTCAAACAACATTCAAATTACAATTAAATTTACCTCTTCTTTGGAGCATGTTCTGCAGCTCTTTGAGGCCCGCCAGTTGTAGCTTTTAAGTGGACTTCTGCTGGGTGGCTTTGTTGTTTGTACATTTACTGTGCTCGATTCAACTTTCGAGCCCTTAATAATGTCTAACAAGTCTTTTTTCCTGTTTTCCTTTACACTGTCTTGGTTCTCTGAAGTCTCCTTGGAAGTCTCAACAGTTCAGACCACTCAACTTTCTTGCTACAGATCGTGCCGTTAGTGCCAAAATATCCTTGGATATTATTTTTTGTCCTGGAAAGATGCATTAAAGAAAAAAAAGAAAAATACAATGCAGGCTAATAAAGAAAAAAGTATGTGTCTAATTTCTTTTTTCAATTCAAGCCCGTTCCATTTGCTTTTTATAATTATTGTTAACAACCATAGCAGCAGCAACTTACCATTTATTAGCATACACTACATGCCTCACCTTGTGCAGTATGTTTTATGTACATTTCTCATACCCACATTAACTCCCTAAGGTCTCCATTTTGCAGATAAGGAAACTGAAAATGAGAGAAGTAACTTACCTAAGGTCATGCACCTCACAGCTCACTAAGGCCTAAGACACACTGGTGTGCCACAAGTAATTAGAGGTGTGCTGAGATATTGATCACCTGCTCCTTGGGGTGGCCAGGGGAGGCCTGGGGGTGCTGGTGCTCCTAAATTTGTTCCTTCCCACCATTTACCCAAGTTCAGTAGAAAAACTCTGACATGGTTGGCCGGGTGCGGTGGCTCACATCTGTAATCCCAGCACTTTGGGAGGCTGAGACAAGCGGATCACGAGGTCAGGAGATCGAGACCATCCTGGCTAACACAATGAAACCCCGTCTCTACTAAAAATACAAAAAAATTAGCCGGGCATGGTGGTGGGCGCCTGTAGTCTCCACTGTTGGGTAGGCTGAGGCAGGATAATGGTGTGAACCCGGGAGGCGGAGCTTGCAGTAAGCCGAGATCGTGCCACTGCACTCCAGCCTGGGTGACAGAGCAAGACTCCATCTCAAAAAGAAAAAAAAAAAAGACGACCTCCGACACGATTAATAAATGACAATTTATTATTCTCAAACCCAGATCTGACTGACTGCAAGTCCTTGATCTTAACACGCTATAACACCTCTTTTAAAAGTTATAATTAGGCTGGGTGCGGTGGCTCACGCCTGTGATCCCAACATTTTGGGAGGCCGAGGTGGGTGGATCACGAGGTCAGGAGTTTGAGACCAGCCTGGCCAACACAGTGAAACCCCGCCTCTATTCAAAATACAAAAACTGAGCCAAGCGTGGTGGCATGTGCCTGTAATTCCCAGCTACTCAGGAGGCCGAGGCAGAAGAATCGCTTGAACCCGGAAGGCGGAGGTTGCAGTAAGCCTAGATCACGCCATTGCACTCCAGCCTGGGCAACAGTGTGAGATTTGTCTCAAAAAAAAAAAAAAAAAAAAAGTTGTAATTAAATATGAAAATAATCAAAAAGATTACTTTCAAAAACTGAGTGGGTGTTATTTTAATCTGATCAACGTTTTCATCGAGCCACATGCGACTTAACCCATAACCACTTGTAAGCGAAGCTAAAATGGAACAGAAAATAGAATAATTGATGGCTAGAAATGTCATTTTTGCTTTCTTCATTAGATACATTTATGAAAGAGAACACCACAAATGATTACGTCTATATTAGACTCATGCAAAAGATATCCTAATTCTAAGTAACCCATATATCCAATTTTATTCTGTGGGGTTAAAAATCTCTTTTGGTATTTGATTACTGAAGAACTTTAAACTCTGAATGTGTTGGTTTCAGTAAGAGTGTATATTTTAAAAATCATTCATTAAATATAGTGAATATCTACCCTGTGCTGGGCACTATACTAGGTACTGACAATATATTAGTAAATATGAATTTCATGTTCTCTACCTTTATGAAGCTGACGTACTACAGCACTGCTTCTCAAACTTTAATATGCATAGAAATTATTATTATTTTTTGAGACAGGGTCTCGCTCTGTCACACAGGCTGGAGTGCAGTGGCGTGATCTTGGCTCACTGCAGCCTTGACCTCCCCAGGCTCCAGCGATCCTTCCACCTCAGCCTCCTGAGCAGTTGGCACTAATTTTCTGTAGACACAGGTTTCCCCATGTTGCCCAGGAACTCCTGGAATGTGCTCACCTAGAACTCCCACCACACACCTAGGCCTCCCTAAGTGCTAGTATTACAGGCATGGGCCACTGTGCCTGGCCCATAGAAATTATCTATGCTCCTTGCTTAAAATACACATTCTTTGGTCCCACCAAACTATTCTGATTCAGTAGCTTTTTCCAGGAGACACTCGAGAATTTGCATTTCTAACAAGCTCCCAGGTGTTGCTAATGCTGCTGGTCAGGGGACTCCATTACAGTAGCTATGCTACCTATGTTACTTAATCCTTACAATCTTAAAGGACATGTTTTATTATTCTCGTTTACAGAACAAACTGCAACCCCTAGACGTTAAGTCAGTGGTTATGAATCTCTAGAGGTTATACAAATCACATAGGCAGCTGACTTAAACCACAGATTCCTGAGATTCTTCGTCTGTTAAGTTTGGAATGGGGTTCTGGGATCTGCATTTTAACTAAGACCCAGGTGCTTCTGATGCAGGTGAGCTCAAGAGCCTGTATCAGACTTTGGGTTAAATACTATATCAAGTTCTTAAAGCTGGAAAATGGTAGCCACAGGCTAAGGATAGCTGCATGAAAGAGAAAATGCAATTTCAAAAAATGCTGAAACTATCTGATGTGCTTATGAAAACGTCAGAGGCTATCAAATCAGGCACTTTCAAATCAGAATGACAAAACAATTGCCAAACTAGTATCCTCATACTAAGTACACAGGACTCTCATAATACTCAATATATGATACAATCTAGGAAAAGAATTATTACTTTACATTTAAAGTTAATATTGGCCGGGTGTGGTGGCTCACACCTGTAATCCCAACACTTTGGGAGGCTGAGGCGGGTGGATCACCTGAGGTCAGGCGTTCAAGACCAGCCAGGCCAACATGATGAAACTCCGTTTCCACTAAAAAATACGAAAATGAGCCAAGCGTGGTGGCATGCACCTGTGTTTAAGATTGTAAGGATTAAGTAACATAGGTAACATAGCTACTGTACTTGGGAGGATGAGGCACAAGAACCGCTTGAACCCAGGAGAAAGAGGTTGCAGTGAGCTGAGATCGTGCCACTGCACTCCAGCCTGGGCCACAGAGCAAGACTCTGTCTCAAAAATAAGTAACAATAATAATAATAATAATAACAATAATAAAGTTGGCTGGGGGCACTGGCTTTCGCCTGTAATCCCAGCACTTTGCGGGGCTGAGGCAGGCAGATCACCTGAGGTCGGGAGTTCGAGACCCATCTGACCAACATGGAGAAACCCCCATCGCCACTAAAAATACAAAATTAGCCAGGTGTGGTGGCGCATGCCTGTAGTCCCATTTATATAGGCAGGATAATCACTTGAACATGGGAGGCAGAGGGTTCGGTGAGTCGAGATCAGCCTGCGTAGTAAGAGTGAAACTCTGGCTCTAAATAAATAAATAAAGTTAATATTAAAGGTATTTTAACAGAAAGGTGGTAATCAGGGGAATGTAATGAATCTCACATATAATCTTGACTACAGTGTTTTCTTTCAAGACTGCTATCACACCACAGAAAGCAATCTACATTACAGGAAAATCATGTATTATACAACTCCGTAACACTAATATAATAAAATTCTAAACCTATCCTCCCACCTGAGTTTGTTTCCACTCACAGCATTTCATCAGTACTTCAAACGCAACACCTTCAAAACGACATTCAAGACGTCCCCTTTCAGACTGACTTTCCATTTTTCACACTTCTATATTAAAATGCCCTGTGACATAAACAGATTTTTTTTTTTGTTTTCTAAAAACTGTAACATAGGTAAAAATCTTTCTCAACCCCGGCTCTACATTCTTCTGCTAACATTAAGGATACCCTAATCCTCCAAAGCAGCCAGTTGAAATCTTTGCTCTCTGACCACCCTACCATTATCCCATGATGTCACATCCCCTTAATTCTACCTCTGCAATTTTTCTCTTCCATTCAGCTAGTCCTTCCCATCTTCACTGCTACCAACCTGCTTCAGCCCTGTACTTAACCAAACTGGCTTCTTAGTGTTATGCATGGAATTTACGCAGTGGAATTTAGGCTTTCACAATAATAAAGTTCTCGGAGGATAAATAGCAAAACCAAGTATGCCGCAACACCTTTTCTTTCCTGGCTAACTTCAACCAGTGGTCCTTCAGATTTCATCAGACTTTTCTTCCAGAAAGGATATCCTGAGTCGCCCCTGCAATGGTTAGGTGTCCCTATTTGCTCTTCCAGCAATTACTTGTTGGATGAACAGTGTACTCTCTGCTTCCGTACACTATCTCAGCAATTATTTCACTACACAGCACTTGAATTGTCTACTTGCTGGAACTACACGTTCCGTGATGACAAGGCTCTTATTCGGGGTTTATAACCACTACTGGCACGCTGTAAAGTTTCCCAATAACGAACTAAAGAATAAACGAAGGAAACAGAAATGAGACTATTAAATAAATCTTGGGAGGCAAAAGATAAAACAACTTCACTTTTGGAGCTTGGATAAACTGACAGGAGGTGATGACAAGAGGAATGAGGCACAGCGACCAGGCTTGTAAACGGAGCTCTGTTTTCCACGCACGCTATAACCTTGGGCAAGTCATCTTACCTTTCTGGGATTTTTTTCTCAGACGTAAAGCAATAGCTTCTAAAACCCAGCCTGCAGTAACTTCGACCCTAGGAAGTCGGAGCATAACAATGTACAGGACGGGGCACAGGGATGTCCGAGGACCTGCGGGGCCAAGAGCGCTGAACTGCGGCACCTGACCCTTCCATGCCGAGCAGCGAGTAGCACAATTGCAGCCGCTGATGTCTCCGGCCTTCCATAGGACAAAGGGTGGCAAGAAAGGGTGCTAAGAGGTAGAAACATCGAGACTCTAGGAAACACCGCGTAGACACAGGGCTAATCAGGAGCGCAACTGAAACAGTGCGTCCCCAAGCCAAACATATCCCCCCTTCTCTTCCGCTTCCGGTCTGGCGTGTTCCCTTCCCTTTGCTTTCTGGTGGGTAACAGGGGCAGGTAACTGTGTTCCGGACTCGCCCGCGGGCCGGACGGAGCCAACTACCTCCAAGCCACCCCACCCATCCCGCGATTCTATTCCCAGAGACTGAGTCCTCGCCAGTGTTCAGCAAGGTTAGCTGGC